AAAAAAAAATTGAAATCCATACACATTTTTTTATGACAGTCCTTTTCCATGAACTTGTTGAATATCCTGCATATGTAAAGTGCTTGCTCAGAAGAGTCAATAGCTAACATAGAGAAAATACTATATAAATGTTGGCATTTTGCATGAGAAGGAAAAGAAGGGAGTCCTCACTGTGTCTGTAGTAATGAGCCTTCTAGAGTGGGTTTCTGTTTTCAAGTACACACATTATCAGAAATAACATTCCTAAAAGTGAGGTCTCTTGGCTGCTGACATAAGGCTGGCTGATGTTCAGTGAGGTTGAAGAGGAGGAGCCCTGGCTCACTTGCCACACAATGAGGATTTCTTCTCAGCAATGATGAAACTCAGGTTTCTCTCCTCCCTGCAGCAGAGCAGACCTTGATCTGAAGGCATCAAAGCATGTCAAGCTCAGAGCTCTGAGGAAGGACCAGGAATCTGCAGTGTGCACACATGGAGAGAGAAGCCATTTTCTGAATGCCCTTGACGGGCATTCAGAAGAGCACTGAATATCACTTTCACATGAAAAAGACTCTGATAGTGAAATGTGAACTTTGGAGATACTGAAGATAACATCTGAGAATTCTTAGCCCTGTTGTTGGGAGTTATTTGACCCCCAGGAAGGGCAGAATAAGAATATTATGAGGGACTCAGAAGATGGTAAGCAAATCCCAGAGATCAGAAGAGAAGATGCTTAGATTCATACATGACTAATAGTTCCTACCAATCCTCAGTGAGGAGGAAGTATATTTCTATGATATGCAGGATACAAAATAAAAATGATAGCTAATATTTTAGAAACTAAGAGAGAGAGAAACAGAGAGTGAGAAAGCAAGCCACCAGGTCCAGGACTTGAAACACAGTCAGCCATGTGAGAGTCCAGTGTTTAAATAACCATAACATTTTTTTTTTCTTTCTTTTTTCCTGTTTTTGTTCCTCAGGAGAAAAGTGAAGCTAAGAGATTTTTAGAAAATGAAGTTAAATAAATTTAACTTTATTTATTTATTTTAATTTGACCAGAGAGGGACAGAATGAGAGAGAGAGAAAGCAAACAGCTAGGTCTAGGACTCCAACTGCAATTGGTCATATGGGAGTCTGGCACCCTTAACCACCATGCCACCTGCAGGCCCCAAAACTAGCCTATTTCTTTCTTTTTAAAATTTTATTTATTTATTGTTTTTCTTTAATTTGACCAGAGAGAGACAGAGAGAGAGAGAGACAGAGAGAGAGAGAGAGAGAGAGAGAGAGAAAGGGAGAATGAGAAACCAAGTTGCCAAGTCCAGGACTTGACCTTCAGTCAGCCTTATGGGAGTCTGGAGTCTTAACCACCATACCACCTGTTGGCTCCTGAAGCTAAGAGAATTTAAGTAACTGAATTAAGTAATTCAGTATCAGGGCATAAGTTGATTAGTAAAACCACATGTAAGTCTTTTAGCAATCAGACTTTTTTTAAAAAAAATAATTGTTTTATTTAACTTTATTTTAATTTGACCAGAGAGAGACAGAGAGAGAGAGAGAGAGAGAGAGAGAGAGAGAGAGAGAGAGAGAGAGAGAGAGAGAGAGAGAGAGAGAGAGAGAGAGAGAGAGAGAGAGAGAGAGAGAGAGAGAGGAGAGGAGAGAAAATGAGAAAGTAAGCTACCAGGTCTGGAACTAGAAATGTGGTTGGCCAAGTGGGAGTCCAGTGCCTTTAACTGCCACGCCACCTGCTGGCCCCAGCAATCAGGCTTTAATTTTTTTTTTTTCTTTTTAATGTTAGAGGGCATATGCACTCACAAGAGAAAGATAAATCACTCCCCAATGGGGCATGGTCACACTGCAATCCCTTTTTCTCTGTTGCTTCTAGTTGGGATTTTGGGGGCGCGTGCGCACACACACACACACACACACACACACACATTCAGTATATTTTTTCAGCCATCAGGGTGGGAAACAAACTGAGTACAGACATGTAGGATCCAGCTCCCAATACACTGCACTTAGTGACTGTGCTGAAAGGCCAGTCCTTACCATTCTTCATTAAGTCATTTGCAATTTCGTAAACTTCTAAAAATTACCCTGTGGATAATTTTACAAATACCCTCAGATTGTTAAAGGTACAATAGGACTGAAAGAATTTTACCTGATCTTAGTAAAGGTGCTGGGCCCCTGGACAGGGATAAAAAGTAAGTAACTTTATGGAATACCACCTTAATAAGACTTACGAGAGAACTGCAAAACCTTTGTGCAAGATCAAGTCAATTATGAGTTTATTTTTTATGCAAAAATTATTTTGAAATCCATGCATGGTTTTTTCATGATATGTTTTTCATGAATTTTTCAAGACCTGTCATACTTGAAGAGAGTGCTGTATGTATGTATGTCTGAATACACACTTTTGCATATTTGTATTTACACACACACACACACACACATGCACACACATATATATATATTTGCATGTCAGTGGTTATATTCATATAGTCGGATCTTGCTTTCTTTACACCTGATATGTCCTCTAATCAAAATTAAATATAGGGTAATCATCATCTTTCAAAGGCTAGAATTTTAGGAGCTCTTACAGGGCTTAATACCTTATATCTTTTAAATCTCTAAGATATGAGTGACTTTAGTGTTAAATTTGACCTGCCTGCCCTCATTACTCCCATCCATGCATATTATTAAAAGGAGCAACAGTAGATTCTAATTTAATGTTTGAATTAACAGAAAATGAATGGAATTGGGGTTTTTCACTTAAATCTCCTCAAATTAACCTTTCTAGTAAGGAATTAAGCACTTCATTTTTTTTTAATTCAAGTGATCTGAATGAAAGTATCATTTAAGTCTCCCGGATCTCCTCTTTCCTCTTCTAGTCCACTGAAGTGATCATTAGCTTTCCATGAAGATGCCAGCAATATCTTTTGCTTGTGCTTGCATCTGACACTGGAGGCATCCACTCATCTGTCACAGTGGCTGGCTATAATGTCTGGGCCACTGTTTACAACGTCCATTAGTGTTTACAGCTCTGCCCCTTTTCTCATGGTCTGTAAAGCACTTCAGACTGAGTTATTCTTTTATAGCAATCACTTTTTTATAGTGTGGATCTCTCCGTAGAAAACTCCAGAGTTGCGTGTGAAGCCAGGTGATACATTAGTGTTGCAATGCAGCACGACCCAGGATCCTGCGGTTTGCTTGTGGTCCCTGAACTACGCAGTCAGTACAGTTATCAGAGATGACCATGTCCAGTTTCTACTAACCAGTTCAGAAGTTTGGTTGATTTTTTTTTTTTCTTCAGATGATTCTGTTTATCTGTAATACACATTATCATTACAGTCCTTCAGATCTATAACTTTTCATGCATGAATATATACACATACATTGTAAAATGTGATTTGGATGGAGACAGATCTTAGGCTAAACTCTTTACCTATAAACTACTTCACCTTTAGAATGAATAGAATGATACTTAGTGTCCAAGGTGTTAAGCGATGCCAGGATTTGGTTGAGGTAAGAGTGGTGCCTGTGGAGAAAGAAGGCCCTGGCAGGATCCTGAGAGTGAATGTCTCTTATGTTTGGTGCTGAGCAATCCTTCTTGCCTGACTCTAGTCCCACGGAAATGCAGTGGATCTGAGATTGTATCCTACTTGCAAGCTAACAAATCAACCTGCTGCAGTGTCATGAATCCTAACGAAAGACAAAAGACTTCTGGGTCAGAGACTAAGGACTCACGATATATCAAGCAGCCTGAGTTTTTCAAGTTTGTGTCAGTTCCACTTGCCACCCAACTCTGCCCTCTGATGGCCAGCAGCCCAGGCAGATGCTCTGTGCTAAGTGGGTTTAACAACACAGCTCAGAAATGTCAAACCATAATAATCCAGATGTTTTAAATAATGGAATACAAGCAAATCTGCCTGACCTTTATCCCAACCAAACAACCCTGCCCTCTGCTCCCAACAGAGATACCATCCCTATCAAGATTGTTGGCTGGGCCGGAAGGTGGCATACTGGTGGAGGGCCCTGGACTCCCACATGGCCGATGTGGTTTGAATCTGGGACCTGAAACTTGCTTTCTCTCTTTTCCTCTCTCTCTCTCTCTCTGTCACTCTGTCTATCTCTGGTCAAATTAAAAATAAATAAATAAATAGATAAGTAAAGTTAAAATAAAATAACCCTTTAAAAAGAAAAGGTTGTTGATTATAAACAGAAACTCTGGAACAAAAGATAGGAGTAACTTGTATGCACACGTATGAGATATTCATAAAGAATTGTCTATGACCACAAGGTTTTATAAGATGAAACAGTGTTTATAAAACACCCAAGCCCAGACTGAGAGACATAATAGAGCTCAGTAAATGTTAGTTCATTTTTTACTGCTTTTTCACTACTCTGACGCATGGTACCACTTACTTCATTGTCCCCACAGTCGGGGTTAGGGGTTAATTGAGGGTAAGAACCACATTCTGTTGCTCCTGTTACGATAAAATATGTTCAGATGGTGTGTGACTGCTTTGTGTGTGCATATGAATCCAATCAAAGTCAAATCATGTCTTTTATTGACCACTGCTAAGTTCATGTGAATGAACAGTGGTCAATACTTCAGGTCCAGGTCCATCTAGATCCTGAATCAGTCCTTACCAAAGTAGGCCATATTTTAATAGTCTTGGCCTCGCTGGCTTACTGCCGCTGATCTGGTGACTAGCATGAGTCTAGTCAACCTTTCTGCTCTCTGATCCATTGCCCACCTTTCCTGGATTCGGCTCCATATAGAATGGTGCTGATTTCTGCCACCCGAATTTCAATAATTCTCTTTCCAATCAGCTTCCAGTTAGGTTTGGCTAATGGGAGACAAAGACAGAAACAGAAGCAAGAGAGTAGAAACCAGGTAACTTCTCTCACCAAGACTCTCTTATTTGGATGGATTTTTTTTTTTTTTTCTACAGTTGGATCTTCCTAAGATTCCAGCTTTGCTAGGCAACCCCTGCCTTTATGATCCCACATCATGGTGGGCAGCCCTAGCTCTGGTGTTTCATTAATCCCATCTCCTTCTGTATTTCTGGGACCACAGGTGATAGCATCTTTCTGCTTTTAGTACATTGCCTCTGCAATTCTGTATTTGCCCCTTTTTACTCTATGGAACTAGTGTTCTTTTTTTTCTTTTTTTTTTTTTTTTTGAGAGTTTTTTGCTATAGGGCGCATGTGCTCACTGGAAAGACAGAGAAAGTCAGAGAGACAGAAAGCAAGAAATCACCCCCCAGGGTGGATGGCGACACCACAATCCCTTCTCTCCATTCTCCTCTCAGGATCTTGGGTATGCATGCACACGTGCCCAGTGTGAGTCTAAGCCACCAGGTCCAGGACTCGAACTGCAGTCAACTACATGGAAGTTCAGCAACATAGCCATTACTCTATTTGCTGGTCCTGAGTGTTCTCTTTCTTTACTGGTCCCTATCTGATATATCTAGGTACCCATACATCTTCCCAGTAGTGACTTTCTCCAAGTGGCCCATTCTGTTCACCATGAGTCATCCTGAGGATTACTTGGTTGTAGAAAACAGAACATAATTTAAACTAGCTTCAGTAAGAAGGGGCTCAATTGTAAGGGTGTTGGGAACTCTCTCGAAAACAAAGGGTAGGGCATACATCTGATCTGCCTTGTCTGTTCCAATAGCTCACTTTCTTGAAAGGAGATGGATGTAACCCAGTTTCTTGAGACTGCTTTTGAGTAGGATGTTCAAAGCAAGGAAATGATCCAACCTCAGAATGTTACTTTTCAGTTGAACTATAATATGGAGTCAATCAACATGGATACTGAATGGATGTTTATAGGGCCAGCAAGAAGCAGCCTGGGAAGGCCCAACCTGCTAAGTAGATCTGAGTATGATAGTAGGTAAGTATATGCATCTCCAGATGGTTACTATGGTTTTCAGAAACATTCATTAAATATCCATATGAGATTTCGTGTGATATTAGTGGTTACAAGTACCTAAGAATAGACAGTGACTAAGAGAGTTTGAAATAGAAGCATGGATCTGTATTGACCCAGAGACAAATTTGTATTTTTTTTCCTCCTTAGGCATGTTTTCGTCCTAATCCTTTTTTTCTACTTTTTAAGAGAGATTTTTGCTTTAGGGCAGGGCACATGCTCTAGCCAAAGAGACAGAAAAAGATAAATCATCTCCTAGGGAGATGGCCATTCTGCTCCTTCATTCTCCTCTTGGGATTTTGGATACATAGGCACACATGCCTGGCATGAGTTTTAAGTCACTGGGTCTGGGAATTGAACCGTTGTTGACTATGTTGAAGTCTATGGACATAACCATTATGCCATCTGCTGGTATCTCTTCCTGAACATTTTAAAATTTTTGTAATTTGCCTCTTTCCTGGGAAAATGTGGTGCAAAACATGTTGTAAAAAAAATCATAGTTGGGATAGCAAAAATATTTAATCAAAGTTTGATGTAATAATTTTATATAATGTTTGTGTGACTTTAATAAAATGATAGTTATTACTGTCTTTATTGGTGGTCTTTATTGTTTAGTATTATTTTAAATATGTTCTATTTCAGCATCTATAAGTATCTCAACCTCTCAGGGAGTTTTAACTATACTTTCATACATTCATATTATTTTTATGAAGGGATATTATTTTGTATTTTTAAAATTACTTTGCTGAGGACATTAATTGAGCTGTATTTTTAACAACTTAATGTATAAATAAGATTTCATTTGATAGTTGTCTTCAACTGGATTTACCTTGGTACTCTACACTTGATAATGTTGAATTTCAAGGTCTTTTAAAACCAATGTGCTATCGACTGAAACATGTTTCCACTGTTTTCATACTTTGAAGCTGTAACCTCTCAGTGTGACTTTATTTGGAGGTAGAGCCTTTATGGAAATAATTAAGATTGTGAAGGGTTGAACCCTCATCTGATTGAATTAGTTTTTTATTTCATTGTACATTTTTTTTCCCCCATAGGGCACTAGTGCTTGCTGGAGAGAGGCAGAGAGAGGGAAAATGAAAAATCACTCACGCTGAGGAATTGCCATGCCACAAAACAATCCCTTTCTTCCATTCTCCTCTAGGGATTTTGGGCATGTATCTACACGTGCCTGGCATGTTTTTCAGGCCACTTGGGTACAGGACTTGAACGATAGTGCATAATGTGGGAGTCCAGTGTCTTAACCCTAGACCACTAGCTGGCCCTGGATTTGTATTTTTTTTTAAGAGACTCGAGAGAGCCCAGTTTCTTTCCCACATGAGGACAGAGTGAGGAGGTCCAAGCCAGAAGAGTGCTCTCCTCAGAACCTGACCACGCTGGCACCCTGATCTCAGTTCAGCCTTGGGAACTGTGAGAAATGCATTCTGTTGTTTAAATCAGTCTATGGGATTTTTTTTTTTTTTTTTTTTTTTTTTTTAGTGGCACCCTGAGCTGCCTAGGACACTGATTGTGCTGATGTTGCTACTTCTTTTCTTAGTTGCAAGTGGGGTGTCTGGATGACAGGAATGGTCTTGAAACATGATGGCTAATATGGTGAGTAAGTTTGAAGAAACAGACATTTGTTTGTGAATCAATGGCATTTGTTTTTCTTTTTTAGAAAAAGATTATCCAAACCTCAAAATGATTGCCTTTCCCAAAAAGCTACAACATGACGTTTTTGGCAAAAGGAATTTAGTTTATTAAAACACACGACACTGTGCTAAAATGCAGTAATCTTACGTTAATTCTGGATTAAAAGAATCGCATATTCCTAAACAGATTGAATGCTAAGTGGAGAGCAACTTGTGAACATATCTGTTACTTAGGAATTTTTCTTTTAATAGAATTCATTTCAGCCTTTACCACAGCCAAGTAGTATTAGTAATGGCTGTCTTCCAGGACCTAGAAATAGTATCATTCAATCAAAATGGATGCTATAATTCTAGTCTTTAGAACTGAAATCTGCATGTACACATTCAGTTTCTTAACCTTATGAAGAATGGGAGCAGAGAGGTGATCCATATCAGGTGAAGAAATGACACTAACAACAGTCTAACAACAGGAAACAACAATACACTTTTACAACTTAATATTTATTTTGAGTGGTTAAAGATTTACTTTACTTCATGAAGGGGCATGGCATTGTATCAATGAAAGACATCACTTCTTTTAAGGATAAATAATGTTTAATTAGCTTTTTGAGGAAGACACAGATACAGGGGCTGCAGAGCTCGGGTCAACTTGCTCCTGCTCCTGGCTCATTGCTGTTTGCTCTCATGAGGAACAAGTTGGTCAGGAAGTCGTGCCATAACCATGGCTTTTAAAGATCCTAGAGGAGCTGTGAAAAATTACTTTCAGGAAAAAGACTGACTACTGAAGATTTTCTGCTGAGACTTCACCCTCCAGATCACAATCTAGAAAGTGGAAAAGTAGAAACTCAGATCTTTCGAGATGCTTATAGAACTTGAGCTGTGAAAAATTACTTTCAGGAATAAGATTGACTACTGAAGATTTTCTGCTGAGACCTCACACTCCAGATCCCAATCTAGAAAGTGGTAGGGCCTTTGTATCCTTCTCTCTGTCTCTCTCTGCTGCTCTCTTTAAATTTTTAAAATTTTCTTAGATTTTATTTTTTTAAAGGTATTTTCTTGGCTCTCAGCCCCTTTATGTTGCTAATTCTTCTCTCTGTCCCATTTAGGAGAGGCAGAAACTCAGATCTTCTGAGATACTTACTGGACTTGAGCTGGGAAAAATTACTTTAGCGCAGCACCTGCATGCCATACGGTTTTCATTTTTTTAAAGAAAAAACAAAATGTTTATTGTCTTTTAATAATTTTTTCTTCTCTTTCTCTGTATTCTTTTCCTTTTTCTTCTACCCTCATCACCTTGCTGTTCAGCCTTCACGCACTGAGTTCTAGACAGGTTTAAGTGAACCATAGCCAAATATCTGAATACTATTAGAGTCAGAATATTCCTCAATTCCCACTGAACTGATGCACAAAGGGAGAAAAACGGAATGGCAGAGAGATTGCAGATCATCTCTACCAGCAAGCCACTGAATGCTAAAATTGAACTTCAAGAAATTAGGAATAAATGTATAACACATCAGATGACCAGAAATCACCACAGGGCACAAGATTTATGAGAAACCAAGAAAATATCTCTTTTCCAAGGGGAAAGAATAACTCCTCTTCATCCACAGACAGTACAATGGAACTTGCAGAAATGTCTGAATGTAGAATTTAGAATATTCACAATGACAAAACTAACAGAGATGCAAGAGAAGAGAGACAATGAACTCCAGAAGAGGCAGGAGAAAAGAGCCAATGAGTTCCAGGAGGTGAGGAAGTTCTTGCATGATCTGAAAGAGGAAATACACATAACAGAAAAGAATCAAACAGAACTGTTAGAGATGAAGGCTGTAATACGGGAAATCACAACCTCTTTTGAAAGTATTAAAAGCAGACTAGATCAGACAGAAGATCAAATCTTAGATATAGAAGAAAGAATCTCTGGCCTAGAAAAATCTACCACGAAGACTGAGGAAATAGCCCCCCAAAATGAGAATAATATATGAGAAACACTAGATACATTAAACGTCCAAACATCTGGATAATCGGTATCCCAGAAAGTGAAGAGACTCATAAGGGCATTGAAAATCTATTCCATGAAATCTTGGAAGAAAACTTTCAATCCTAGAGAGGCATCCAAAGATCCAGACTCAAGAAATACAAAAGATCCCAAATAGAATCAACCCAAGAAAATCTTCTGCAAGACACATCATAGCCAGATTGACCAAAACCACAGACAAAGACAAGATACTATGATTGGTAAGAGAGAAGCATCAAGTTACTTAAAAAGGATATTTCATCAGGCTAACAGTGGACCTTTCATTTGGAAACAATGTGAGCCAGGAAAGAATGAGAAAATATATTCAAAGTATTAAGTGAAAAACAATTTCAACCAAGAATATTATACCCAGCAAGATTATCTTTCAAAATATGGGAAGAAAAATCAAGAATATTCTCAGGGGACCAGCAGTTGACATAATGGCTATGTTGCTGGACTCCCATGTAGCCAACCATGGTTCGAGTCCCAGACCTGGTGGCTTAAATTCACGCCGGGCACGTGTGCATGCATGCCCAAGATCCAGAGAGGAGAATGGAGGAGAAGGGATTGCAGCATGGTTATCTCCCCTGGTGGATGATTTCTTGTTTTCTGTCTCTCTGTCTCTGTCTTTCTGTAAAGTGCACATGCCATAGAGCAAAAACCTCTCCACAAAGAAAAAAAAAACAAAAAACAAAAAAACATTCTCAGATTAAAAAAACCTGAAATAATTTACTGGCACCAGGCCAGCTTTCCAAGAATTATGAATGGAGTATTATACCAGGAAAACTAGATACAGATACATAGAATTAAGAGTTCAAAAACAACCAAGACAATGGTCAATTCAATGGTATGGACAATTATTCATATTCAATGTTTCAGATGCCCTGGAGACTTCATATTGTTTTTTAGCCTCCTCCCTATCTGATAGTTGGGCTAATTTCCCCATGTACCTAATTTAGCACATTTATGAGGAGAGATGGCATTGTATCTTAGAGAATCACATGCAGTCATTTCTTTATCTTTTTTTTCTTTTTTCTTTCCAGTGGGTGCATGCACATGCCAAAAAGGGAAGGAAAATAAGAAAGCGTCCCTCAGGTAATGGTCACACTATAATCCCTTTTCCAGTTCTCCCTTCTTTTGGAATTTTGTGCACACGTATACACACCCAGCATATTTTTCAAACCTCTGGGTCCACTGGTCTGCAACTTGAATCATGCAGTCTACCATGAGGGGGGTCCAGCCGCCTTAATCTCCATGCCATGGGCTGGTCCTGGAGTCCTTTTAAAATCAAAATTGACTGAAATGTACATGTCTAAGTAACTACTGTGTGCCTATCACTGCTTCTGGCTGGACCTACTATGAAGAGCAGTAAGACCTCAATTTTCTGTTCTCAAGGAACTAAATGACTCTTAGGGAAAGCAAACTTACACGCACAAATAGCCTTGGGTAGCGATAGGACTGCTTGGTGTAGACTGAGTATGGAACCAACTTGCTTCAGAGTCTACCTGGAAGAATGTTGTGGCTCACACATGCCATATTAAAGACACATTCTCCCTTGTTGGTTTGATGCAAATAACAAGACATCTCTACCAAAAGAGGTCAATCTTTCTTTGCTGTCCAATGATTTTTAGCATATCCCTTAAACAAAGTCTGGTTTCACATGAATGAGAACAAAATGTGTTTTTCTCTCTACTCTAAGCACCTCTCTATCCATCTTTCCATACATTCCCCTACCCTCACTATTTCATAAAACTCCCTGGTACCTTCATACTGCCGTTGTTTCATGGGATAATAAAGTCCCCAAGCACAGACTCTCTAGTCTTCCTGTAAGAAGTTGTATAGTAAATATAGTAAACATTTAGGCTTCGTGGGACACATTGGTCTGTTACATAACCTTCTTTGTTTACAGCTTTTAAAATATATAAACTATGTGTAGCTCTCTGGGTGGTACAGACCAGCCAGCAACTCTGTTCCCCCTTCCGGCTCTCTGAGGTTTGTCAAAACACAGATTTGTGGGTCTCACCCAAGTTCCTGATTCAATTTTATGGGGTGGCACCTGAGAATTGGGATTTCTAACAAGCTTCCAGGTTATGATGACACTGCTGGTCCTGAAACTGGGTTTGAGCACTATCCTACAGCAGCAGTTTCTCATCATGACGGTATCTTAAAATCATGTAAGGAATTAAAATCAAAACAAAACAGAACTCCAAGAATTTGCTTTTTAGGCTTCATCCTGGAGCAAAATAATTTTTTTCTCATAGTTTTAAATGGTTAATATTCATCCAAGCCCTATCCCCAGTGCTTTGTGTATAAACACACACAGGTGGGCATGCACACACACACACACACACACACACACACACACACACACACGCCTCTACATGCCTCCTTGAATTTTTGTTTATTTCTTGAGCAGAGAGACCCACGGAGACAGAAAGGCAAAGAGACAGTCTACCCCAACAGGATCTTTCTGCTGAACTTCGCCCTTAGCTTCCTCCAGTTCAGATTTGGGCACCAGGGCCTGTTGTGAAAGATGCACGTGGGTCCGGCTCTGCAGATCATTCATTATTGCTGCACCTCCCCCTGCTCCTTCTCCCGTTAGTGGTAGGCTCAGTCGTTACTGAACACCGCTGCAGCTACACTCTGCTGGATCTCCTCTTGCCGCCAGCAGATCTATCCTGCGTACCGTTTCCCCAGGAAATCAACAGGTGTGTCAGGTAGAGCCTGATAACTGATTTTGCTTTTAAGTGACGGGTTTTCATTTTACCTTGTATTACCCCCAATTCTATCCTGAGCCCCATTCAACACACAGCGCACCCTGCCAGCAAGACCTCAAGGTCAGAAATGACCCTAGGAGAAAGTGTATTTGCAAATTCTGTGGTTCTGAGAAGGGACTGAGACTAAAGAAAATCTTCAGTATAAAACAACTACATTGGACCAAAAACCGAGATCTACTTTTTAACTTGAGTTAAATGGACATACCCACTGACGGGCTGGGGTGGGAGAGAGCCTTGGGAAGGAGCGATCAGGCAGACCCAGAGCCAAGAGAGGAAAGAGGTCTAGGCAGACTGGAGGTGGAGCTGATTTATTCGCCACCTGGCAGGCGCTGGGCACATGAAACAAGATAGACAGTCCCGTTTGATGGTGAGACACACTGCACGGCGCATAAAATGCCACCTGGGGAGAGTGCCCAGGTGCCACAAAAGGGTCTGCCCAAGGATGCGCCCATACGGCATATGTGTACGTGAGACCCGAGGAAGGGCACAAACGTGATCACTCAGTAATTGTGCGCAAGGCGTGTAATTCTCTCGGAGTCTGTTTCCAGGCGTGCGTGTGTGGGAGGGCGGGGGACTACTGCAGTAATTTCCGCACATTCCTTCCAGCAGCCTGATCCTTTGCTCTCTGCCCTCCCTGCAGCTCGAAGGCGCTTTCAATCAAGTGCAAGGTTAAGAGTGCAGGAGGAGTAGGGCGGGGAGAAGGGCTCCCACTGTTTAAACAGTACCTGGGAGGAGGACTGCAGAAAGGTCCAGAATAAGGGGAGGGAGCGAAAAGAAGAACGTAGAAGGAGGCGGGGGTAGGACAAGAAAAGAAAGTGGGTAGGGAGACTGGGAGGTGCCGCAGCCCTGCGCCTCCGCCCTGCTCCTGGCGCTCAGCTGGCGCCTCCGGCCCACAATTGCGCTGAGCTGGGCGGATTTCTGGCAAGCCGGGACAGCCAGCGCGCGGCTCGCTGTTTCACCGCGGGAGGCGGAACGTAGCAAACCCCAGGCTTGTTCAGTACTCTGATAGTCTGTTCCTGGGGCGGACGATCACCCACGCAGCCCGGGCACTACGCGCTCGCCCAGGGCACGCCCGGCGGTGGTGACAGAGGCGTGGCTAGTCCCCGGGCCGTTGGCCCGGGAGGTGGCGCCGTCACCCGGAAGCTTCTTCCGGTGGAAAACAGTAGACGCTCGACCCTTTGGCTTCATCTTGCTTCTCGCTTGCCTTTTTCCTTGTTTCTGGGTTGCGCGGGAGAAGCTGGGCTTCCTGGACTAGTAGCCCGGACCCGCGCACACCGGGGGTCCGGCAAAGTGTTCGTGTGCTCGTGCGCGCGCGTGCATGTGGATGGGTCTGTCAATATCTATCTTTGATTTGGCCCTGGACACTTGCTAAGAACTGTGCTGCACGGAATGAAAGAAGCCAGAATCTTTACATTTAGAGCTTGACTAGTCAACTCTTGGGAAGGGCACTCGTGGGATGGAGCCAATCCCTGGTTTCCTAGCAGGAGATGCTGTTTGCCACCGTACCTCTTAATGTAGGGCTCACTCCGTGTTACTAGAGAAGCAGATCCTCATTAGAAGGTGGAAAGTAAACAGGATATACATGCTTAAGATCACCGGTCTATGGTTTGTGATGACCCGCCTGATTTGACCTTGTCCTGATCAAGGTCGAATGGTAAGGGTATGTTATTTGTGAGGCTACTGAAAGAGCTGTGTGAAAAGCTCTCCTACAGTGAGGCTAAATCGTTTCTTCCGGGTCTTTATAGTACACTGTTAATCTTTCTTTCTTTTTTTTTTTTTAAAATTTTTTTTTTTTACTTTTCTTTTTTTTTTTTTTTTTTTGAGAGTTTTTTTTTTTTTTTTCGCTATAGGGTGCGTGTGCTCGCCAGACAGACAGAGAGAGACATAGAGACAGAAAGCGAAAAATCACCCCCCAGGGGGGATGGTCACGCTGCAATCCCTTCTCTTCCATTCTCCTCTTGGGATCTTGGGCACGCACGCACACGCGCCCAATGTGAGTTTTAAGCCACCAGGTCCAGTACGCGAACTGCGGTCGACTACGTGGGAGTCCAGCGATATAGCCATTACACTAACTGCTGGTTCCCAAGATTTTTTTTTAAAAAATTTGCCATAGGGTGCATACATTCACCAGAGAGAAAGAGAGAGAGAAATCTGCCAGGTCTAGGACTCAAACTGCAATCAGCCATGTAGGAGTCCAGCACTTCAACCATCATGCTACCTGCTAGCCCCACCGCCAGATATTCTGAATTAATTGGTTAGGCTTGGAACCTGGTCATTGACAGGTTTTTTATTTGTTTATTAACATTTTTTAAGAGAGATTTTTGCTATAGGGCGCATGTGTTCCCAGAGAGACAGAGACAGAAAAGTGAGAAGTCACCATCACAGGGGGATAACTACACCTCTATCCCTTCTTCTCCAGTCTCCTCTTGGGATCTTGGGCATGCATGCACATGTGCCTGGTGTGTTTTAAGCTGCTGGGTCCAGGACTTGAACCATGGTGGAGTCCAGCGGTTTAACCATTATGCCAGCCATTATAGGGCTCATATGCTGGTCCCAGTCATTGACAGGTATTAAAATTGGCTTTGATGTCATCCTCAGGTAATTTTATCCATGCCATAGCGCTGGCAGATATCACCATTAGAACCACTTATTAGATTAAGAATACAGTGAATAGGCACACTCACTGGATACAAAAGTATACGGGCAGTAGTAGGTGTGCCTAATTTCTCACTAGTAGGAATGGGTTTGATTAATTTGCTTATATTGAGAAAATGGCAAATAGGTCCATGCAATATCATATAGGGAGATACTTAGAAAAGAGGAAAGGTCTGTCTGGTAGGTAGATTACCCAGAGCAAAAATAAAAGAGGGAGAAGGACGTTGAGGCAGAGGCAACCTAATTACCAAAGATGTTGGCAAACATGTTCGCATCCCTACTCCTCAAACCTCCTTTTCCCTAATTAGTTGAGACACCTTGGCTACGCTTTAGTTCTAGCAAAAAGGGAATCATTATTTGATGATGGATGGTTTTTTAAAAAATATCTCATGTATTTAAAGATAAGAGTATCAGAAAGAACCTTGTATAGTCTCAGGTATGGACAGTAAAAGTGATAGTAGCTATAGGCGTAAATAAAGGCACATCTCATGGTTTAGAACTCAGGGGAGAGTTAGAGATTCTATAGGTCTGGAGAAGTGATACTGGGTCCAAGGAGTGTTCTGCATGGGCCACTGGTGGTCCACGTGGGAGGAGAGGTTCTTAAACCGTAATTTGCATTTACTCTTCCAATGTGCAAGTTC